TGATGAGATAGGATTGTTATTGTTGTTGTTGTGTGCTTTCAAGTCGTTTCACACTATGGTTGACCCTGAGCGAGGGCTGGGTAAATGACCTTGGAGGGCCGTATTCGACCCTTGGGCCTTAGTTTGAGGACCCCTGGTATACACTTATGGAAAAAATAGACCCATGTATGATTCCACAGCAAGCTGGTTCCAAGAAAAGGGAAAAAGGAAAGGAAAAAACGCACAAAGACTGAGCCAAGTTTTGAACTTGACTCAACCCCAATGATTTTGGAAGGCATATCACAGGAGCTGTCTTCCAAGACCTGTCAGCAGCTTATGATACTGTAAACCAGGAGTCCTCAAACTACGGCCCACGGGCCAAATACGGCCCTCCAAGGTCATTTACACGGCCCTCGCTCAGGGTCAACCTAAGTCGGAAACTACTTGAATGCACACAACAACAACAACAACAACAACAACAACAATCCTATCTCATTAGCCTGCACTGCATCCTGTCAGATCCCCAAAATCTGGAGGAAAGCAAGAGTCATCGCCATCTTGAAGCCAGGCAAAGACCGTAATGATCCAAAAAGCTACAGACCAATCTCCCTGTTGTGCCACCTCTACAAAGTTCTGGAGAGACTTATTTTGCATAGAATTATGGAAAAAATAGACCCCTGTCTGATCCCACAGCAAGCTGGCTTCAGGAAAGGCAAAAGCTGCACATCGCAAGTGCTGAACCTGACTCAGCACATAGAAGATGGCTTTGAAAGGCAGCAGATCACAGGCGCTGTCTTCATAGACCTGTCAGTGGCTTATGATACTGTCAACCACCGCCTCCTCCTGAGAAAAATGTATAATAGGTTCTTGTGGGTTTTTTCGGGCTATAGAGCCATGTTCTAGAGGCATTTCTCCTGACGTTTCGCCTGCATCTATGGCAAGCATCCTCAGAGGTTGTGAGGTCTGTTGGAAGTAGGAAAAATGGGTTTATATATCTGGCAGGAAAAGAGATTTAAAGATGGGCTCAAAGCCAACCTTAAAATCTCTGGCATAGACACTGAGAACTGGGAAGGCCTGGCCCTTGACTGCTCCAGCTGGAGGTCAGCTGTGACCAGCAGTGCTGCAGAATTTAAAGAGGCACGAATGGAGGGCGAAAGGGTGAAGCATGCCAAGAGGAAGGCGCATCAAGCCAACCCCGACCGAGACCGCCTTCCACCTGGAAACCAATGCCCTCACTGCGGAAGAATATGCAGAGCAAGAATAGGGCTCCACAGCCACATATGGACTCACAAGAACACTGGAAGACAATCATCCTCGGCAAACGAGGGATTGCCTAAGTGAGGAAGTGAAGTGAAAGTGTATGAATGTGTGCATGTGCATATGTATATGACTGTATGTGTATATATGGTATAATTTTGGGGTTTTAAGTCTGCTCCGCTGAGGTTTTGTGTGTGTGTGCGTGTGCGCACATGTGTGTTTATGGGTGATGGACACTCGTTGGACTGTTAGGTGCCTTGTGTCCAAATTTGGTGTCAATTCGTCCAGTGGTTTTTGAGTTATGTTAATCCCACGAACGAACCTTACATTTTTATTTATATAGATGAAGCTATTCCCAGAGTTTCCTGGCGATGGCACTGCATCCCAATTCTTAAATAAACTCACTATCATTGAGCAGGTTATTGTCAGTTTCTAGGTCGTGGAGTGAGAAGACGTTAATGTGGAATGCTCAAAACACTGACGTCATCATACTTTTCCGACTAACTCTCAAAATGGTCACTCCTTGGATGTTTATTTGAGTCTTTCATGGCCATATCTTGCCTTGAAATCACATTTTCCCCCCGGAAATAATGCGTTATTCTCTATTTCTTTCTTTTTTTAAAAAAATGGCATGCAATTTCAAGTATTCCTTGAAAACCTCGGCTGCTTAACACACCTCACCAATGATGCTCCGAGGCTCATGAGGAAATGAAAGACTAACATAAAAGACAAAGACTACATAAGCTTTACTCATTAGGATACAGATGACATATCGGATGGCTGGATGAGAAAAGTTGGTGTGTTTTAAGTAGGTAATGAGTTCGAGGGCTGGCTCCCGCACCATAAAGCAGGTTTCATTGAGGGTTTTCCTCTGTTAGGACGAAAAGAAGGCAGAGAGTACCCACACTTTGGAGAGGATTCGTCTAGTATGGGCAAACCTAGGCCCGGGGGCTTGGATGTGGCCCCTTGGGCTCTTTTCTCAGGCCCTCCACTCTCTCGTCATCCTATCTTTCCTTCCATCTCTCTTTCCTCTATCTTCCCTTCCTTCTCTTGCTCACTTCTCTTTTTCCTTCCTTCCTCCTTCCCTCTCTCCCTTCCTTCCTCCTTCCCTCCCTCCCCTCCCTTCCACTGTTTCATCCCTTCTTCCCTCTTTCCCTCTTTCTCTTTCCATTCCACCCTCCCTTTCATTCTTCTTTCCTTCTCTTTTTCCTTCCTCCTTCCCTTCCTTCCATCCTTCCCTTCCACCGTTCCATCTTTCCTTCCTTCCCTCTTTTCTCCCTCCTTCCCTCTCTCCCTCTTTCTCCTTCCTTCCTTCCCTTCTTTCCTCCCTCCTTTCCTTTACCTCTCTTTCCTTTACCTTCCCTCCTCTTGCTCACTTCTTTTTTCTTCCTTCCCCCTTCCCTCTTTCTCCTTCCTCCCTTCTCTTTTTCCTTCTTCCCTTCCTTCCTTCCCTTCCCGTTTCATCCTTTCTTCCCTCTCTCCTTCCTCCTTCCCTCTCTCCCTCTTTCCATTCCATCCTCCCTTTCATTCTTCTTTCCTTCTCTTTTTCCTTCCTCCTTCCCTCTCTCTCTCTTTCTCCTCCTTCTCTTTTTCCTTCCTCCTCCCCTTCTCCCTTTCCTTCCACTTCTTCCCTTCCCTCTCCTTCCTCTCTTTCCTCTTTTCTCTTTCTTCCTTCCCCCTTTCATTCTCTTTCCTTCTCTTTTTTCCTTCCTCCTTCCCTTCCTTTCCATCTTCCTTCCCTTCCCCTTCCCTCTTTCCTTCCTTCCTCCCTCTCTTTCTCCCTCCTTCCCTCTCTCCCTCTTTCTCCTTCCTTCCTTCTCTCTTTCCTTTACCTTCCCTTCCTTCTCTGGCTCCCTTCCCTTTTTCCTTCCTCCTTCCTTCCTTCCCTTCTTTCCTCCCTCCTTTCCTTTACCTCTCTTTCCTTTACCTTCCCTCCTCTTGCTCACTTCTTTTTTCTTCCTTCCCCCTTCCCTCTTTCTCCTTCCTCCCTTCTCTTTTTCCTTCTTCCCTTCCTTCCTTCCCTTCCCGTTTCATCCTTTCTTCCCTCTCTCCTTCCTCCTTCCCTCTCTCCCTCTTTCCATTCCATCCTCCCTTTCATTCTTCTTTCCTTCTCTTTTTCCTTCCTCCTTCCCTCTCTCTCTCTTTCTCCTTCCTTCTCTTTTTCCTTCCTCCTCCCCTTCCTCCCTTCCTGTTTCATACTTTCTTCCCTCTCTCCTCCCTCCTTCCCTCTCTCCCTCTTTCTCTTTTCATTCCATCCTCCCTTTCATTCTTCTTTCCTTCTCTTTTTCCTTCCTCCTTCCCTTCCTTCCATCCTTCCCTTCCACCGTTCCATCTTTCATTCCTTCCTTCCTTTTCTCCCTCCTTCCCTCTCTCCCTCTTTCTCCTTCCTTCCTTCTCTTTCCTTTCTTCCTTCCTTCTCTTCTTCCCTTCTCTTTTTCCTTCCCTCCTTCCTTCTTTCCTCCCTCCTTCCTTCCTCCTTCCTTTCCTTTCCCTTCCTCTTCCTTTTTTCTTCCTTCCTCCCTTTCCCTCTTTCTCCTTCCTCCTTTTTTCCTTCCTCCTTCCCTTCCTTCCTTCCCTTCCAGTTTCATCCTTTCTTCCCTCTCTCCCTCTTTCTCTTTCCATTCCACCCTCCCTTTCATTCTTCTTTCCTTCTCTTTTTCCTTCCTCCTTCCCTTCCTTCCATCCTTTCCTTCCACCTTCCTCTTTCTTTCCTTCCCTCCTTTCCTCCCCTCTTCCCTCTCTCTCCTCCCTTCTCTTCTTTCCTTTCCTTCCCTTCCTTCTCTTGCTCCCTTCTCTTTTTCCTTCCTCATTCCTTCCTTCTTTCCTCCTCTTTCCTTTACCTCTCTTTCCTTCCCTTCCTCTTGCTCACTTTTTTCTTCCTTCCTCCTTCCCTCTTTCTTCTTCCTCCCTTCTCTTTTTCCTTCTTCCTTCCTTCCTTCCCTTCCCGTTTCATCCTTTCTTCCCTCTCTCCTCCCTCCTTCCCTCTCTCCCTCTTTCTCTTCCCATTCCATCCTCCCTTTCATTCTTCTTTCCTTCTCTTTTTCCTTCCTGCTTCCCTTCCTTCCATCCTTCCCTTCCACTGTTCCATCTTTCATTTGTTCCTTCTCTTACCTTTACCTTCCCTTCCTTCTCTTGCTCCCTTCTCTTTTTCCTTCCACCTTCCTTCCCTCTTTCCTCCCTCCTTTCCTTTACCTCTCTTTCCTTTACCTTCCCTTCTCTTGCTCACTTTTTTCCTTCCTCCTTCCCTCCCTCTTTCTCCTTCCTTCTCTTTTTCCTTCCTCCTTCCCTTCCAGTTTCATCCTTTCTTC